TTACTGAGTGTGTGGCAGTGGCAGCATTCCTTGATTGAATCAGATCCAATAGCTGTTGGTATTTATCTTTGGTTAAGGCTATTTTCTCCTCAGCCACTTCCTGCTCCAGAGAAGTTAAATTTACGGAAAAACAAGGTACCTTACCCCTGTTATGCAACTTATGCCCAGGCGGATACCCTTTTAATTTGTAACATTTATCAATGACATGCCCTGACATATAACAATGACTGCAGATAGGTGCCTCAGTGTTTCCAGTCTTAAAACGATTTTCAAAGAGATGACCATTTATATGGCAATGGGTACAGTAAGGTCTTTCATGTTTTTGAGGAAGAGACTTCTTAGTATTGGATTTGAAAAAGGTGTAACCTTTTTTTATTGCAAAAGCCATAAAGTCAGGAGAAGATATGGCAGATGACACGATGTGTTGTTTCTCATGTTGTTGTATCATAGAAAATACCTTATTCATAGGAGTTAAGGGGTCTAGTATCATAATTTGGTCTCGGATGTTACTGTAGTATTCATTGAGGCCCATTAAAAATTGGATTACATAGTCTCGCTGGTACCTATCTATTTGAATTTTAAGCTTACCACAGCTACAATCTGGAAGTGGATCATAGACAATTAATTCATCCCACAGTGACTTTAACTTGCCATAGTAGATACTTATAGAATCCTGATCTTCCTGTAATGCTGCTAGTGTTTTCTTCAATTGGAAGATGCAAGGCCCATTTTGTTGGGTGAATCGATCCTTCAACTCAGCCCAGATTTTTGAAGCATCATCCACCAAAGCAATGCTTGATTTCAAGGTCTGGCAGATTGAATTTTGAAGCCAAGAGACTACCATATCATTGCATCGTTCCCACACATCAAAAAGTGGTCATCAATTTCCTTAGGTTTAATCAATGTACCATTGAAAAAACCGAGCTCATTTTTAGCTTGAAGTGCTTGAGACATGGCCCTGGACCAGGTGGTATAATTATCTGTAGTGAGGAGTTCTGGGACCAGTGAAATTGAGGGATTATCTCCATGGTCCAAACGGTAAGGATTAGTGATGTTATTAAAATCGAGAAATTGGGATAGGGGAGTGGTAGAAGAAGGAGCTGTTGGGTTAGGATTTATTGATTCAACAGCCATAGTTGGGTTAAGGTTTGTTGATTCAGCAGCCATGGATGGAGATCTTTAATCCAAACCAAGCTCTGATGCCATGTAAAATTAAAAAAGGGCAGAAGAAAGTTGGAGAGAATACTTACTGCATTCTCATTTCAATTCAATTGATGCGTATTTACAAGAAGCTGCTGTACATAATAACAAAAAAAAAAAAAAATACACAGATGGCAAAACAAAATAACTGATTCTAGAATCTTCAGCAAGAATAACTAACTGAGCAATTACAAAAATGCCTATGAGGGCCCTTGTTTGATTCTCATTAAATTACATTACATTACATTCTATTTTTCTCTCTTCTATTTTCAACCACACAATCTTCCATAAAATAATATTACACGTAAATCGAAAAATTTTCCTTCTTTTTCAACCACTCATTTTTTCAGCAAAACACTATTCCCCCCATTTTCATTACCAAAAATGGGGGCCAAACGGGGGCTAAGTCCCAATAAAGTTATCCCTACTCCATTGCTTTTTTCACTTCTTGACATATGGTCATCCAACTCTTTCTTTCCTTCCAGTTTCATCCAAGAAAAAGTAACAAAAGAGACTTGATCTTACAAATTTGTATTCCTAAGAATAATTTTAATAAAATCCACCATGTGGGGAATCATATGATTCTCCTGCAACTCCTTTCCAGGCAACACAAAAATATTGTCCGGCACGTTAGATATATCACATGAATATGTTAAATATAACTATTTAAAAATAAATTGAAATAATCTTAAAACTTGAACTATATCAAGTGAAGCATCTCAACCCATAGCCACTTATGCCTTTTTCTTCACAAAGCTGTGATATTGGCTAGCTTTTGGCCTGCCTAAGGACCAACCACATAGAGTTAGGCTGTCTAACTAAACTAAATGGTAAATTGCACTAGATCATTACCATCTTAAAAGAATCAATATGCCATTTACTATCCATTTTTGAAGTATTTTCACCCATTTTGTCCTCAAACAATTAACAAAATCTCTACTCTTTTTCAATATGCTATTAATGTTCATTTTTTAAAGTATTTTCATTTCCCATTTTGTCCTCAAACAATTAACAAAATCTCTACTCTTTTGACCAATCACTACTCTCACCACTATCTTAAAAGAGTGAATCAGTATGTTATTGTTCATTCAGGACATATTTAGGTGTTTCCCATTTTACCCTCAACTCCCTCGCATGGTAACTCTCACGCTAAGGGTTTAATAGCCTTTTTCTATGTAGACAAAATAACAAAAAGTCAAAAATTGTGTGCTACCTAAAAGATTTGATTCCCCGTTTTGCCTAATTTGAATTTTTATGTCTAAAAAAAAAAGGTTGACGTCATACACATAATTTTTTTTAAGAAAATGATGTAAATTATATTGAGAAAATTGTCGCGAAAAAATAATAAACATTAATAAAATAATTGATTTTTTTAAGAAAAAGAACGAATTATATGCATTTTTTAACACACACGATAATTCATTTAGATTATTCGATGTGTTTATGATATAATTCTCGAAATGAACTTCGAGAAAATATAAAAGATTTATGGTAAATTTTTATAAAAAAATAAATAAATAAATCACCCAATGCAATAATAATAATAATAATAATAATAATAATAACAATAACAACAACAACAACAACAACACAAAAAAGATATCAATTACCCAATGGAAAAAAATTATAAAAAAAAATTGACACTGAGCATTATTTAAAAAAAAAATGATTTACGGAGTATTTGTTCCATGATGCACGGAGCAAATTGCTCCCGGGTGCCAGGAGCAAATTAATTGCTCTGTGATGCACGGAGTATTTTCGTAATAATTTTTTTCTTTTTTTTTCTTGGTGATTAATATATCTTTTTATACAAATCTATTTTACCCTTATAACGTGATACGGAATATGTTGAATCATGTATAGTGTTTATTTTTTAAAAGCAGTTGCGATAAATCAAAATAAAACTTAATACAATGTTAAAAAAATTTAATAGTCGGTCGAAAAGTTGTTGATTAATTTATTTGACGATATTGAATATTTTAGACGTATATAAATTTTGGAGGATTAAATCAAATATATCAAAATTGGGTTATTAAATAAAAATCTCAACCACATTTAAGTGACAAAATATTATATTGTTGCTCAGTTTGTGTTTGGCTCCATTAATTTTTTTTTTCATTTTTCTCTCTTTTATTTTCAATTATAGAATCTTCCATAAAATGATATTACACGTAAATATTTTTTTTCATTAAATCGATTTCACGATTTAATTATATTGAATATAGTTATCATCAAATACGTCATTTATATGTAAAATAATCGCTCAAACTAAAATAATGTTTGATATATAAATTATGAGCTCCAAATTTGGCTTTTAATCCATGCATCAAGGGAGCATTTATCATATCTCCAAAAAATAAATTTCAATTATGAAAACACAAAATTGAGGCCAAATAATTTTCCATCTTAATTATTTTAACATCTGAAAAATTTTTATATATAAAAGAAATTCGATCATTTTTAGGAATTTTTTTCTTATTGTTACTTTTTTTTCTCTCGATCAATTAATTTTTTAAATAATATAATAAAATTTTTGACATCATTTAGAAAGTTTTCTAATAAACTTTTATTTTATTTTTTTAATATCAAAAGAGATATCATTTAAAAAATTAAGAATTTCGATAACAAGCTAACTTTAAAAATTCATCGACGATTGTACGGTAGTCCAATGCATAAATCTTCTATATTTCCTCGAAACTCATTTCAAGAACTATATCATAGACTTATGGAATGATCTAAATGAATATCGAAAATAGTTAAACGTATGCAGAATAAAACATTGTGTGTTCAAAATATATTATATATAAGTTTCGATAGCTCTTTTTTCATATATCTTATGTGTATCGATTATGTTGGACAAATATGAACTCTTTTGGCTTCATTTGAACTCTTAAGTACACTCATGTATATTATTGATTAATAATAGTATATGATGATGCAGAGTGTATGTCATCTATGAAGATTACATTTTCATTTATTATTTTAAACAATTAGGACTTGTTTGAGTCACATTATTTCAAAAAAATGCATTTTTAAACAGTGATTTCACATCATTTCAATCATACATTTTTCAATAAAATAATATTACACGCAAATCAAAATTTTTTCCTTATTTTTTAACCACACATTTCCCATGAATACACTATTCAATAATGCATTATTACCAAAATAATATGGCTCAAACACCTCCTTAATTAAATTTATAGATTTATTGAGAGAAATGAATAGATATTTTGACACGGTACTGTTACCTAAAAAATGAAATAGTTCGTGCATTGCACGAGTGCAAAACTAGTAATATTAAAAGAAAGATACATATAAAAAAAAAAAAAAAAATTGAGTGTGTCGTGTCAATTTTAAATTCTTATGTTAAATTTAGTACTCGTGGACAAAGTATTTGTACGTGGAAGCAAAGGTAAAGAATTATAGAAGGACGAAGATAATCCTCAATCAACCCAAAAAATGTGCACGCTTGCATTATGATATAACTATACATATAATTAAAAGTTTGAAAAAATAAAAAAAAAATCAAAAAATAACAAGACCTAACCTAACGATAGACATGACACTACCCAAGTTTAATACTTAATTATTATCCAATGTGTTTCGTGTGATCATATCAAAATAATTGCGTAATGAATTACCCCATGAGCAATAATAATCACTATAATCTAAAAAAAGCAAAAATATTGTACATGAAAACGTTTACACAATCATAAAACATGCAATGAGCCGGCAATCAATCATCAATGAAACAAACACAGTACTATAAATTCAGTATTCTATACAACGACGCGTGTTTGAGAGAGAGAATGATGCGACTATAATTGGCGTCTTTTTAGCAATCTGTTTCTTTTCAGAAGTTGACCCCATCTCTCTTCCTTCGACCCCCACCTTGAAAAATCTTTCTTTCTTTTAATTTTTCCCTCCGGATTATGGATTTTGCTCAAAGTTAGAAAATAATTGATTATCCCACCATATTTGTTTCCGTAAGTATTGTTAATATAGAATACATATACAGTCTCTTTCTTTTTATGCCCAATAAACTGAAAAATCTATACAGTTTTTATTTAAGTTTTCGTTTGATGGATATTGGGTTTGAATGAAACAATAACAGATCTGTGTTCTGTATGTGAATTTTGACTGGTTATCCATTCAAGGGTTGGTTGATTTTTGTGTATGTTTTCTTGAAGCTTCCATTATTGACTGTATTGTTTAATCTCATCCTCTGACTACGTCCAATTTTGACTTTATGGATAGCACCTATCCTTTATATTCTGCATTTTGTCAATTCTACGGTGTGCATTCACCAAGAAAGTGCTACCTTTATTGAATGAATATGTTCTAGAAAGTGAGAATTGTGAAGCAAATTTCTTTGAAACGGGTGTAGAGAAAAGGATTTCAACTCCAAGGCTATCTGTTTGGGTATTAGTTATTAATTTTCCAAAGTTTGAACTCTTGGATAAGTGCAAAGAGAAGAGAAGCAATTTGGAAGTGGCCATTCTTGAATTTTATGGCAATTTTCTAAGATATTGTTCCAATTCGAAAGACCCTTTTTTTCATTCTTTGATTGGTAATATGTAATTTGGTTAATTGAGATAAAGTATTGATCAAGAAACAACGAATCTTGGTCTGGGTTCATAGTTGAGGAAAATGGGTTCCTTTCCTGGTCATGTTCTTCCCGGAACATTGTTTCTTTTGGTTGGCGTGTGGCACATGTGGAGTTCCATTGTTAGATATGTATCGAATCCTAAATCTTTTCAAGTCAGGGTGTGGAACCCTGTTCCCGGTTTTGATGGACGGCTTAAGTACTTGGAGCTTTATCTCATAGCAATTGGAGGTTTCATTGATTTGTGTATAGAGTTCTTATATTCGACCCATCTCCATATCTTTGTCAACGGAGTCTTGAACCCTTCTCACATGAATAACTTCGAGCACTCCGGGATGCTCCTCATGTTTTTCATCTTCGGTGTAATAACACTGCTTTCGGAGAAAACAAGGTGAGTTCTTAACTTTGTAAATTTGTTTAACATAACTGTTTGAATTTGAACTATGTTTGAAATTTGGCAGACCTTAATTCTTTCCCTAGCTTTAGTAGAACTTTTGGCACGTCTATTTGTACCCCGTTCCTTTTCTAGTAGTTACTCCAAAAGGATGCGTAGGACCCGATATATAATTATCTTTTTAAGTTCTGCATTCCTGAGATATCAATGAGGCTTTTTAGACCTTCAAATACTCATGACAGCAAACACTTACGTTAAGCAGGATAAATATGCTCGAGCCATTTTTCGGGGGACTGATAATAAATGGAACCATCAAATGAATTTTTCATGTATTATCTTCTATTTTCTTCTATCCTTTTTAGGGTGGACAGATTATGTCATTATTTCATATATAATTGTAATTTATCTTATCGTATTTATTTTGTCTTGTTTTTGACATTCTTTAAAGGGTACTCCTTTTTCTGGAAAATTTAGTAACTAATATGCCTTCCAACTTCCCCTAAAATCAATAGATTTTAGTGGTAAGAAGTTGAAAGTTTTTCTTACATTTCTCAAATGCTACTGGTTGAAAGTGGAGACGTTGTGTTAAATCAATTGTAGATCTGAGTTCATTGCTATATTGACTGAAAAACCTGGCCTTTAATATTAGCGGTGCAATCATTGAGGAATGTCGAAATCGCTTGGTTAGTACTTAAATTTTATGGAATGTAATGACAAAACTTCTGAATTCAGCAACTGTAAAGGCGGAACTTGGAAGGCATTAGGCTCTTTAGTAATTCTATCTAGGATCTGAAAGGATGAGGGTATTTAGAGTTGCAACTTTTTATTTCGATAGGCATAAGTATTATTCAATTATGCTATTGCAAGTCAGTATGTCTGTTCATTAGAACTCTGTCTAATTTTATTAGCTCTTTTTGCATTTATGTCAAACATTTTTCTTTTATGACTAATGCACAATTTTCTCTCTTCTCAGCTTTCTTCCCTTGCCCGAGGGAGCTTTGTGTTTAATTGCGTCTGCAGCATTCACTGCAGAGTACCTTCTATTCTATTTCCACTCAACCACTCATAAAGGCCTCGAGGGATATTATCACCTTATCCTCGTCCTCCTTATTGGCCTTTGTATTGTATCAACTATTGCCGGAGCCCTCATCCCAACAAGTTTTCCGGTCGACTTATGCAGTGGCATCGCTATAACACTCCAAGGCCTGTGGTTCTATCAGACTGCATTCACTCTTTACGGTCCAATGATGCCGGATGGTTGCATGCTCAAGGGAAACGAGATTAAATGTCATTCAAATGGACAAGAAATCCATGGAGAATTGCTGGCTAATGTTCAGCTATTTGGTCTAGTTCTCGGAGTTCTTGTGGCTGTTGCAGGAGCATATATTTACGCAGAGCCAAAATATGGTCGTTCGATTCTTAACAACTCACAGGTTCCCGAAGATGGATGAATGTGTTTAACATTCTTAGCCACGTTTACTTTTTGCCTGCACTGCATTTTGTTTCCACTTCTGAAGGAGGCTTGTTCGTCGTTTGATAATTTGTTCCAATTGGCATAGTCATCGTATGTATTTTCCATCCCATTTGGCATTATGTCACATTTTGTAGTTATTTAGTTGTAGATTGAGTTAAATTTTACTGTAGTTTGAATTGTGATATGCAAGTTATTTCACGTACGGTGTCAAAGTGTTAGAGCAAAAACTGGACTGATAGAATCTTGTTTGGGCTATGTTTGTCTTCTCATCGATAAACATGTTCTTATTAACTTTCCATTAGGATAAGTTGCATTGATAATTTTTTCTCCAAAGTTGCATAGATAATGTTTTTTCCCAATATTCTTTTTTTTTTTTCTTATAATTCGAAATATTGTTTAAATCGTCAGGATTATGAAGCTCATAAACTTAATACGTCCCTATATTTCAATAAATGTTCATCTCAATCAAACATAAATAAAGGGTGTACTTAGTTCTCAATCTTCTGTACATTATAACGCTTATCTCCCTAATATTTTCGACGCGTTCTTATTTTTAATATTTTATTAGTTCACACTTGTTGAGTTTGATAATGGTTTTTGTTCAAAATAGCTGTTGAGAGAGTGTAAAATAATTTATTTTTTCGTAATATTTTGAAAACCAATAAATAGGAATGTGCAGTAGAATATTTTTCCTTTCAATGCACGGAAACAGAATATTTTGATAGAATTAGTATTAAGAACGAGTGTTGCAAATTAATAGAAATTTGAAGATCAGAATCCAGCGAAAAGTTAAGGACATAGCACTATTGTTGACTGTCAAAGTGTTCCCACAAATTTATGAAAAGGTTAATGCAAATAAGAAGGAACACATTTACGGAAGACAAATTTTACTTTTCTCATAACCACAAGCACAATTAATAAAATTAGAAAAATATTTTTGTATTAATTTGTTGTCACATTTCAAAGATTGCAATTAAAATATATTTGTTGTACCTGAGGGGATGACCATGCACGAGCAGTTTTTTAATTAGGATGATGATAGGTGATGGTAGGAAGAAAAGCAACAATTGAAGTGGGATAGTCCGTCAAAAAAGGATTTTTTACTTTTTTCGCATTAGTTGATCCTGAAATGACCAAAGTTTAAATTCGAAAAATCGTCACGAGCCACCTTCCATTATTTACAGACAATCTGCAGCTCAAAATAAAAACTTCACGCGCTCAAAAAATGAACTGGAAGAACGAATTTTTTTATTATTTTGGGTTGTATTGAATTATATCTTTCATTTTTCTTTCAAATCCCTTTTGAGTTCATTCTTCATGCGAAATATGTCAATAATTTTGGTTGGCACAACATTTAAGGTTACATTTATAAGGACAACCTTTTCAGATGTTGAGCTCATATGCATTGCCACAACAGTATCTTCCATTGATTTTACTTCATTTAGTCAGAGTACAAAAGTCACTCATTTTTTCAACGACTTATGGTCTCAAAACGAAAAACTGGCAACTTCTTCATCTTCATCTTCATCTTCATCCTCATCTATGGCATCTGCATCATCCTCACTGAGCACATCATAATCATCATCCTCATCAATCACCATGCTCTTATCGTCCTGTTTTACATCCTTCAAACCAGTGTTCAATACCACAGCTTCACCCCGGGACTTCTCCATGTCTTTTCTCAGCTTTTCCATGTTTTCCTTTCTACGTTCTTCCTCCAAGCGCTGCTTCTCTTCCCGTCTCTTGTCAAGATCAGCCCTGTCGTGGAAGCAAGAGTGAATTTCAAAAATCATCATTGGAAAAAATAATGGTAACAACATGTCTAGTTTTATCACACAGCTCTAAGAAAACAAAGAGGTAATCAATTAGAAATCAGTACTTGTAAGTTTCCATGTACTCTTCGGAGCTGGCTTCAATAGACTTAAAGAATGCATCCATTCCAGCACCAGACACTGCAGACACTCCAACGGATCTGAGATTTTTATAGAACTCCTCCAGAGCAAGGGAGAGACTTCGGGTCAGGGTTGATGTGTAAGAGTGGTCTGAATCTAGTGCTGCATGAAATACTTCGAAATCTTCCATCCACTACACTCAGAAAAGCCAGAACAGTAAAAAGACTAGCAAAAGCGGACCAGTAATTATTTACAATGATAATAAGGATTTACACCTATAAATCAATATTATTTTTTTGAAAATATCAACTAAATCGAGAGTGAAACGAACCTCCAGAGCAAACTGATGTTGAGCCACATCTGTCTTGTTGAACACCAGTACCATCGGCAACCGGGTCTTGTAGAGGATGCTACAGGCATATAGCATATTGCTCATGAAGGTAGCTGGACTTGCTGAGCGTGGCGTGTCAACAACATAAGCAATCACTGTAGGAAATGTTGAGGCAAAAGCTTCTGTAATAATCGCTCCAGATGCAGACCAAGTGAAAATCTCAATTTGGCCAGGAGTGTCAACCAGAACATAGTCAAGCTGATCAGCACGTTTCTCGATTACTGATATAACCTGCAATTCGACGCCAAGAATACTTTAAGGCTCCTTTCTCCATTCATGTATTTGATATACTAAAGACGGACACAGTGACAAATCCACGTGCCCACTAAAATTAATTAAAATTAAGAAATGATTAGCTAGGTGTTCACTCTTTACACAAATGAGGTATGGTGAACCACCCATTATTAATTAAAAAGCATTGGTATCATGCTAATTAATTACAGAATAATATAAACTTAGACAAATTTAGCATACACTAGACCACGATGGCCAAAGTTGAGCCTGGATCAAGGATGTTGAGAACTTCAGAATTATTGATAAGGTTAGATTAACGTCTTCCCTAAAAAGTAATTACATCAAAACCAACACAAACAATCAGTAATGGTAGTTTATTATTATTCGAATTTAAACTAAATATATTACTGTGTAGTTCTATAAACTAAAGACACTGTATACTAAGAAAATGTCTATACCTTGTTGAGATGCAAGCATTATTCAACCTTGAACATCAGATGTAAATTTGGCATATCTTAGAAGCCAGTGCACAAAAATACCAAGCCAAATTAAGCACAAAGAAAATTTCATTACAATGATTCTTGATCCAAATATTTATGCTTAAATAAATCTTCTGCATTTTAAGGAACGAGCCTGAAAAAGTATTGACAAGCAAAGTTCAGCTGGAGTACTCAATTTTAAGAAAGAGCACATGCATAGCTACCTATGCGATGCAATCTCATTTTTTTTATGACTTTCATTTTCAAAAGTGATTTGCTACCAATGTAAAGATAAGCAACAGTTGTTGTATGAACTTCTTTCAACTTCCATGGTGCTTTGACATAATTATAAAGATAACGGTAACTGTCATCCATTGTGACAACAAAATAAACAAGTTGACAATAATAAAATTAAATCTCCATGAAAAGGTTTACCTCATCAAACTTTGTTGAAAACAAGTTAAGAGAAGTCAAAATTCCTCCATTGGGTCCAAGATTGAATTGCTTCATGACCTCCTTGTACCGAACAGTGTCCCTTATATCAATATTTGCACCGTATGGAAGAGTCAAGACAGCGGGATCAAGATTGATAACATAACCCTGAATATTTGATGCCATTGTGTGACTAACTAGGCGGTGAAGAAATGTAGTTTTTCCACTCCCTATTATATTCAGAATCTCTCCATAAATATTCAGACAACAAAACAGACTGAATATGAAACCCAAAATTACATTTTGTTAAATATAATACAAGAGTACCTGCCATTCCTACAACAATTATGACAACTGGTTTTCTCTTAAAGCTTGAAGACGGTTCAGCTATATTCAGTTTCTCCATTGTATTGGAAATGTGGTCTGTTTCTTTACTCTTCAACTAGAAACAAACAAATAAACATTATGATGAACATAGTAAGAAAAATGTTTTTAGCATATAAAATGTTTGATAAAGAATTTGCAAATCAACTATTTACCTCAGTGGCTGTTTGCATAATCGATGCAGAATTCTCTAGTGATTTCGAATCAATGTCCATTTGTCAGATTAGTAGAGTCAATGATGATTATTCAGACTTCAAGCTGAAATATGAAAAACATCAGCCATGAAATACAACTAACAGGAAATCACTCAAATAATTAATACATGTGATTTCAGAACCACAGTGTTTAACTGCACACAAGTCTCTTCATTGTATGTGAAAACAATGAGGGCTACATATTAAGTATAATAATTCCTTGCACTGCACTTGAAGTATAAATAATGTAATTATAGGCACACAATAAATATGATGCAATATTCAGATTATAATAAATAATAGCTTTTCTTTAGGAATTATGTGGATGTCATGTCTTATGAGTGTTATACCTTTGCATAACAAGTGATATCCCATTATTTGCCTATTAATACCAGTATACCACAGTATCGACGATGAGACGTTCAATTTTTATTACATTCAAAGCTAAGATAAGGCTAACCTGATTGTTGTTATTGGTTCAAAAAAAAATAGGAATAACTCTAAACCTCAGGCATACATGCCCGTAAAACTCTAAAAATTCAAAGAATGTTAGATTCCTCAATTAATCCGGATAATACTATTCCACATGCAATTTATCCTTCAGTGCAATACATAGCATGAGTAAGATTCACAAATCTCATCGTACCTCTTAAGAGAGTTTTTGACCTTTCTTCCTTCACCCTCATCTTTTCTTAGTTTTCACAAATTAAATCAACAATCAAGTTACCAACCTCTCCAAATATTTTATCACCATTGTTAAAATCCTTAACTTGAAGAGACACACTTTAGATCACAGCCCGATCATGCCAAATGCCTAGAAAAACATGGACCACTCTAATGTGTACTTCATCAGCTTCAAGAATACCCAATTAATATCTTCTTCCTTTGCATTTTTGAGCTCATTCCCTGAAGAAAATTATTTACCAATCTTCTAAACCACAATTGTTACATCCCTACTCCCCAAGATATATCCCTAAATATTTATACGAGCCACTTAATGATAATGTAAAAGAACATGAGTGTCTATGGTTCTATCTGTAGTAGAATGAATTCAATCATCTGCCAGTGCTATTGTAGATTTACTGATTCAATTCAGGCAAGAATCAAAATGATATAGCATAAACCAAGCATAAAGTACTAATAACCTATAGAAGAATGTTTGTAGTCATGGAAACGTTATGGGTAACAAATCCCAATTAATTAGGGTGCCAAATCTGTATTTGCCAACATGGGATTGGAACACTTCTCTAAAGGGTATTCTTGAATTTGAATTAGAGCTATCTCCAATTCTGATTTTGATGCAACTCTTTTAATTGCCACTGATATGACAAATATGGTACACCATATCAAAGAAATCAATTCGAATCCAATAAAAACTAACCATGGACAGATTTCAAACATATAATATAAACCAAATTGGCATGCCGACAGAAAATTCAGGAAAATGAAACCGTTGATCTTATAAGAAGTAAAGAAAAAAGGCATGTAGATGACCTATTAATATTCCCCTAAAAAAAACATTAAAAACAGAAAATTGAAGAAGAAGCCCATAATCCGAAAGGAACATGGAAAAACTAAATTAAACTTAAAATAAATGAGAGAGAGAATTATCAAACTTTAAGCATGATGAAGAAAATATACCTTCGTAAAATTTCGCGACCGAATGAAGTATGCAAATGAAAATCAATTAAACAAGGATCATTCGAAATAGAACTGAATTACTGACAAAGAAAACGTTAAAGGCCCAAAGCAAATACCTTACGAAAGGAAGTCAGAGGCTGTGGTTTTATCGGGGGTTTTATTTAGGGCTGGAAGTGGGTTGGATTGGGCCGGGTCGGTTTAGGCCCAATCGAAAGCCAACCCAACTTGTTTCGGGTACTTTTAAAATTGACTCAGTCAAATCACCTAAATTCCACATTGATTTCTCAGCAGAAGGATATTATGAAAATGGGCCTATCCAATATTAAAAGACATAAATACCCTTAAATACATTATACAATTACAAAAGTTGATTTTTTTAAAAGACATCAATACCCTTTCACTTAACAAATAAAAACCAAACACGTCTTACTTTTCTTATCTGTTTACTCCAACATAGATAAATAAAACACTATCATTCTTCACCTGTTTCAACCGCAGAAACTAAAAAATTTATCGAAATCAAAATCGAAAAATTTGTGGACATCAATCTCGTCGATTCAGTAAGTTTATATATGCAAATTTAATCTTATTTTCGTTAAATTATTGTATGTTTAAATTGATAAATTGTATTTCGACATTTAATGGTAATGTAGATAAAAAAAATTTAATAAATCCGTAATTTTTTAAGCATTTGACCCGAAAAAATTCATCTGCATATACTTTATCGAACAAGTGTTGAGTGTTAACAGACCAGCACGTGCCAGTGATTCGACTGTTTGAACAGCCGGTTGTTTGACCGACTGTAAATAGTCGGTCAAACAATCGGTCAACTGTTTTCTTTTTTCCCTTTTTTTGGATTATTTTTATTGCTCTTGATATTTTTCTTGTAATTAAAAATTCTATTTCGACATGCAGATATGGTTGTAATCCTAATTTATTACTTTGGTGATTTCGAATTGGACGAAAGAGATCAATGTGTATGGAAATGGATAAGTGTTAAACGTGGTGGTATCATAATTTCCATATCATCAGGTACATCGTATGCAGAACTCTATAATGATTTATAGAACAAGTTTAATGTTGATCATTCTCAGTACAACATGAAATTTAAATTTAAATTTAGCGAGCATGCATCAGTTATGATTCCACCTATAATGATTTCTTCTGTTGATGAAGTGAATTATCTGATTGAATTGAACAATAAGCACACGACTCCTCTTTGCGTGACAATAGAAAAAACGTTAAGCGAAGCAGGTAGTCTACTAAATCATACAATACTTACCCGGGCAACATTCTTCGCCACTTAGCCTCGAATGCTTTTCACTTGGCATGGTCGACCTCTCGGAACAGATTAGGGTATGTCCTGTCGACGAAGCTCCTCCACTTCGCCTCAGCCATAAAGGGAGAGACGACGTACTGTGACGGCACTCTCGACCTCTCACCGACCACCGTCTCCTGCATGTTAACAGCACGCTTTTTTGCCTTATACACTGTCACCTCCTCCACCCCAAGGCTCGCCATCTCTTCCATCTCCTCATCTGCCACCGTCTTCGTCCCCGATGGGGCCACTCCCTCATCAGCCACCTTCTCCGTCCCCGACGGGGCCATCGTCTCCCTCCCCGACGGCCCCCCTACTCTACCACCGCTCCCATTCCATCACGCTCCACAAATAAAATAAATGATTCCCATACATCATCATCATGCATGTACGACTGTCGGAGACCCCATCTCTATCATCCCCATCTGTATCACCCCCATCTCTATCACCCTCTCGATCACCCCTCCAATCACCGTCTCCGTCAACCCACCACCTATCGGCTATATCACCTCGAAGTGCTGCAATCTCATTCTCAAGGTCCACACAATGGCCACGCAGCACTCTAACATCATTCGACAAATCTTCGACCCTTCCTACCTACTGTCATCCCAGATCGTTAACCCTTTCTATCATCTCTCGACGTAGCCCGTCGACCTGCTCCACTATAAATCCGCTCAGACGGGCATACAGATCATCAAAATAGTACCCCTGACTATTTGCAGGAGATCCACGGGAAAGGTCTCTGAATGGGGGAGGCGGAGGAGATGCCCTCGACGGTGAGCTGGTGATGCCCTCGACGGAGGTGATCGTCGATCAACTGGATCACGCTCCTACACAAGCAACAACATTACAAATTACTAACTTAATCCATAATTGATAACTCATACAAAACGGTAATCAATAGATTTTATTCAATTCGCTCACCCAATCTCGGTCGTGGATCGAATCGGACATTTGGTCGTCTTAAGTGTGTGAAACGCCTAATTCACGCACAAGACCCTGAGCCTCCTCCTCTATCGACAACGTCAACTCAGTTATGACTTCAAACTGACATATTGACATTTGAACTAGTTAACGATCATGTAATCAGATGTTAAGTCACGCACAATATAAATTACAAATGCATAATACTCACCTGAGGGTCCTCGAGGATAGCCGATAACTGTTTTCCAGTGGGACATCCCTCTGATCAAGATGCTCTCCAATGGTGCAATCGAGGGCAACGCGTCTCCCCTCGCCTCGCAAAGTCGGCACCCAATAAGGGGACGGTCTCATACGCCCAGATCTGCAACACATAAAATTATTATATATAAATTCAATAGGAAGATAATTTTAACATTCATAATGTTAACCATTTACCTGCACCGCCAGGGGCAATCCATAGGTGTCGTACTTATGCATAACTCCCTTCGGCTTCGAGTGCGATCTGGTGAAGACGTGTACGGTGTCCTCGAAACATCTCTGGCCCCACAAATAGTCGTTGAAATGATCGATGTCATCAACGATCTCCAGATGGAAGAGGTCGATCACAGTCTTCTTGTGGTGACACCGCACCACACTCTCAAGGATGTAGACTAGCCTTAACTTCAGTCTATATAACATCTGATCACACCTCCTTATTGCATCGAACAGCTGTGTAAGAAGCACAATTCCCTGTCCCTCAAAGTAAGTGCCATGAAGCCTATTTCTTCTCTAAGTCCCATCACCAGCTGCTTTATCGCCCATAATATTTAATTACGTGATCAGAACAAACTTGAACATCGAAAAACTGGCGACTTTACCCTTGACTATGAAGTGGAGGGCATCGCCGTTGACTGGACTCAGCAATCGACATAGAAGTGCATCAATAATCTGACTCCAGTACTGCAAATCTCTCAATAGGTACAGGGCCACAGGAAGGACTGACGTAGCGTATCAGCATGCTAATTATGGAGCAGCTCTAACTCAGCAGTGAAACTGTCAAAGCTACTATTCCACGTAGCTTTGCCTGTCATATGTCTCAACTCTGAGTCAATGTGATAATCTATCTTGTAAAAATTCAAAATGTTATAGCATTTAGTAATTGAAGGCTGAATTGGTTTAATTGATTGTATACCCAAGGTCATACTATAGTGTTGAGCATTCAACTGTTTGCAATTGGATGGCAAAACAATGTGGGACCCCTCAATTGGAGGAGGCACGACTGCTATGACGATTTTGCGAACTATATATGTTTTCCCAGAAATTGTAGTAATATTTTGGGTCTATTTTGGTTATGCTGTTCCATCAAAATGTACTCCTAGATGAGGTGAGATGAATGGTGATGGAGGACGATAATGGGTGTCGTTGGAAATGGTGTTCTTCGTATGTAAAGTGTCGAAATTAAGACTATATTTGACATATTTCTTCCTCCAAAATGGTTGTTTGGCTTGGTTGTTTGTTGAAGTCTGTTAAGGGTATGATATTGTCGGTGTGGGGTATTTCTTGGCAGCTTTGACAGTCGAGTGATGGTGGGTTTGGTTTAACTTTTCTAGTTTGGGCATTCCCCCCCCCCCTCCCCGCCCTTATTTTATTATATTTATGTGGAAATACATAAAGTTTACCATTTTTTCCTTACAGAATAGTTAAAATATGGTCAAAACCACTTTTTAGGTCAACTAGCAGTAAATTGGAAGAATTTTATTCAAAAGAGCATCAGATGCAACGTTTTAAAAGGTTTGAGGTGACGACTACAACAAATGAAATGATAGGAAAAAGTCTACTAATATTTAAAAGGTTTGAAATTTCTGCTGCAATTATTCCATATTAATTTGTGGTTAGTTTGTGGGGGTGTTTGCATTGGGGTACTTTTTAAATTAACCTGGTCAAATCCCTCATTTTTCACTTTGACTTTTCAACTATATCATATTTTCACAATAGTCTTTTGGATGGTAGAAGAATTACGAAAATATTGTTTTGTTTAAAAGACAATACTACCATTTTAGTGAGTAAATGAAAACCAAGCATTTCCTGTTTAAAATTTCAAAATCAGCTAACTTTTCTTATATAATTATTTCAACATAGATAAAAATACTCTCATTTTCCATCTTCTCCAACTTCAAAGTCTCTTTTATTATATTTATGTGGAAATACATAAAGTTTACCATTTTTTCCTTACAGAATAGTTAAAATATGGTCAAAACCACTTTTTAGGTCAACTAGCAGTAAATTGGAAGAATTTTATTCAAAAGAGCATCAGATGCAACGTTTTAAAAGGTTTGAGGTGACGACTACAACAAATGAAATGATAGGAAAAAGTCTACTAATATTTAAAAGGTTTGAAATTTCTGCTGCAATTATTCCATATTAATTTGTGGTTAGTTTGTGGGGGTGTTTGCATTGGGGTACTTTTTAAATTAACCTGGTCAAATCCCTCATTTTTCACTTTGACTTTTCAACTATATCATATTTTCACAATAGTCTTTTGGATGGTAGAAGAATTACGAAAATATTGTTTTGTTTAAAAGACAATACTACCATTTTAGTGAGTAAATGAAAACCAAGCATTTCCTGTTTAAAATTTCAAAATCAGCTAACTTTTCTTATATAATTATTTCAACATAGATAAAAATACTCTCATTTTCCATCTTCTCCAACTTCAAAGTCTCAGAAATTTATCAAATACTGAAGAGGAAAATATTTTTTTATATCAATCACTTCGAATCAGTAAGTATATTTATATATGTTTAATTTCGTTTTTGTTAAATTAATATATGTTTTTAATCGACAAATCTTATTTCGACATAGATTAATATGTAGATAAAAAATTTTAACAGGTATAGAA